AGCTATCATCACCAAGAGGAACAAATGGTAGATTGTGATAGGGTTCATGATATGGTAGGTGATGCATTTGTAACTCATGATGATGATGAAGTTGAAGAACCTAACTTAGATGCAAAAAAGTTTTACGAAATGTTAGAAGCTGCAAATGAGCCAATTTACAGTGGTTGTAGAGAAGGTCTGTCTAAATTGTCGTTGGCTGTTAGAATGATGAGTATTAAAACCGATCACAATCTACCTGAAAATTGTATGGATGCATGGGCAGACTTGTTTAAAGAGTATTTGCCAGAAGACAATGTGTCTGCTGAATCTTATTATCAGATTCAGAAATTGGTATATAGTCTTGGATTGCCCTCGGAGATGATAGACGTTTGCATCGACAACTGCATGATTTACTGGGAAGATGATGAGAAGTTAGAAGAATGTCGATTTTGTAAGAAGCCATGATTCAAACCGCAAGGTCGAGGGCGCAATAGGGTACTGTACCAAAGGATGTGGTACCTACCAATCACATACAGATTGAAAAGATTGTACCAATCTGAGGAGACTGCTGGAGGGATGAGATGGCACGCCGAGCATACTCAGACGGATGGAGAGATGACTCATCCATCAGATGCAAGAGCCTGGAAAATTTTTAACAATGTACATCCACATTTCGCTAGCAATAGCCGGAATGTGTATCTTGGATTATGCACTGATGGATTTAGTCCATTTGGAATGTCTGGGAGACAATATTCATTGTGGCCGGTCTTCCTTACACCGTATAACCTGCCACCGGAGATATGCATGCGACGAGAGTTTCTATTCATGAGCATATTAATACCTGGTCCAAAACATCCAAAAAGATCTCTCAACGTTTTTCTACAACCACTGATAAAAGAGTTGAAAGATTTGTGGTCAACAGGGGTGAGGACAAATGATTGTTAAACGAAAACCAACTTTACGATGCGAGCGATGCTTTTGTGGACCATAAGTGACTTTCCTGCATATGGTATGTTGTCTGGGTGGACTACACATGGGAGATTAGCTTGTCCATATTGTAATGGAATGATAGATGCGTTTCAGTTGAAACATGGTAGGAAGACTAGTTGGTTCGATTGTCACCGTCGATTTCTTCCCATCCACCACCCATACCGAAGAAACAAGAAATTGTTCAGGCACAAAAGGGTTGTCAGAGACACTCCTCCTCCATATTTAACTGGTGAACAAATCGAAGCGCAAATCGATTACTACTGTGCTCTAGAAACAGCTCCTCGTGGTGGGAATTGGCATGTTCCCAGTAATATGCCTGATTTTTATGGTGTTCAGCACAATTGACATAAAAAGAGTATATTTTGGGTATTGCCATATTGGAAAGATCTTCTTTTGCGCCACAACCTCGATGTGATGCATATAGAGAAGAACTTTTTTGAGAACATCATGAACACTATATTGAACGTCCCATGGAAGACGAAAGACAACGTAAAATCGAGGTTAGACTTACCCGATATCTGCTCAAGGAGTGGGCTACATATAAAAAGCAATGGGCAAGTTCCAGTTCCAATATTCAGACTGTCATCAGATAAAAAGTCTGCGTTGTTCAACTGGGTGGCTTCAGAAGTGAAGTTCCCTGATGGGTATGTTTCAAATCTCTCAAGATGTGTTGAGAAAGGGAAAAAGTTCTCCGGGATGAAGAGCCATGATTGTCATGTCTTCATGCAGCGACTACTTCCCTTTGCGTTTGCGGAGCTACTACCGGCAAAAGTACATGAAGCACTTTAAGGTAATTAATTAATATAATACGATGATATGATTATACATATATATATATATATATATATATATTAATGTGGATAATGTTTGTTTTTTTGTAAATATACAGGAATTGGAGCATTTTTTAGGGATCTGAGCACCCGCACTCTTAAAGTGGAAGTTGTCCAACAACTTCATGAAAACATCCCTGTCTTAAACTGCAACTTGGAGAAAATATTTCCGCCTACTTTTTTCGACGTCATGGAACACCTAGTTCTCCACCTCCCGTATAAGGCATTACTTCGTGGACCTGTGCATTATGGATGGATGTATCAGTATGAAAGGGCCATGAAAACTTTGAAAGGAAAAGCCAAAAACCTAGCAAGAGTTGAAGGTTCTATTGTTGCAGGAAGTTTGACGG